CTGTGGTGCAGTTCCACTCTGTCCTCTAGGGGCGCTGTGGGTCAGAATGGACTCCACGGCAGTGGGTGTGGTTTGGGCTTTGCTTCTGTGAAGACTGACGGCCTTGGAGACCCTGTGGTGCAGTTCCACTCTGTCCTCTAGGGGCGCTGTGGGTCAGAATCGACTCCATGGCAGTGGGTTGGAAGGTGTCAAATACAATATGTTTATTATTCTTAGGATGACTCTGGAGAGGAATGTGCACATTGCACAGCCGCTGACTGAGAGCAGCTCTGTGTGGCGCTGAGGACTCTCTAGAGAGGGCTCAGTGTTCAGGGGAGAGAACTAACCACAGGCAGTCAGGTGATGATTAGTGCACATGTGCACGGAACTAAGTTTAAGTTTCAAGGCCCTACCTTTCAGAGGCTCCTGGCTCTAAGACTCACTCACTACCATCAAGTCATTTGCAGTATCTCTATGGGAGTAGACTGCCCAACCTTCCTTCCCAGGGTGGCTGGTGGGTTTGAACCGCCAGCCTTCTGGTTCACAGTCAGATGTCTTAGGCACTACACCTCCAGTGCTCCTTGCTCCAGAAGTGTGACTGTGTGTGCAGTCGTACTGGAGTTCAGCTGCCAGCTCTCTTACTGGCTGTGTGACTCTCAGGACAACACTGTGTATCCGGTCTCCTAGATTCCCTTAGTATCTATAATCCTGTAACTTCAACTAGCAACGGGGCAAAAACCCAAGATTTTGTGAGGAAGTCACAGAGAATCAAAGACCTGGAGAGTGAATGATGGATAAACATGAGTGAAAATATTAGCAGACAGGCTGTGAGATACGGCACACGTGGGAACGCTCACTAGCAGTCATGAGGGCTTCCACGGCCAAGGACTGCGTGGCATCCCTCACATCCATGTGCCGTCTCATCTTTACAACTGCTGTGCGAGACAGGAAGGAGGTCTGGTGGTGTAGTGAGTGCCTAAGGCATTTGACAGCTAGCCAGAAAGTTGGTGGTTCACACCCACCAGCCACTCCTTGGAAGGAAGACTGGACAATGTACTTCTGTAGTGATACCGCCTTGGAATCCCAAGGAGGGGTCACTATGAGTAGAATCAACTAGACGGCAGTGAGTTTGGTTTTTGGGGTTTTTTTTTGGTATGAGGTAGGACAGTGGCATTCTTGTATCACTAACCGGGAAAGTGAGGGCTTAGAGACACAGCTAACCCCACAGGTCACTCCATCAAGAGGAGCTCAAAATGGAGGCTCTTCAAATTCCATGTCATCAGGAGATCACTATTTCTCTTTTCCTTCAGATCGGCTCAATTCCCACAACCAGACCGATGGACATTCTGACTGATTACTGGTAGGCATGACGTCTATCTCACCTCTCTGCCTCAGGTTACAACACCTCTGTCATGTGTAACAGCATAAAGTCCCACACCCACTGCAGTGGAGTCGATTCTGACCCACAGCGCCCCTAGAGGACAGAGTGGAACTGCACCACAGGGTCTCCAAGGCTGTCAATCTTCACAGAAGCAAAGCCCAAACCACACCCACTGCCGTGGAGTCCATTCTGACCCACAGCGCCCCTAGAGGACAGAGTGGAACTGCCCCACAGGGTCTCCAAGGCTGTCAATCTTCACAGAAGCAAAGCCCAAACCACACCCACTGCCGTGGAGTCGATTCTGACCCACAGCGCCCCTAGAGGACAGAGTGGAACTGCACCACAGGGTCTCCAAGGCTGTCAATCTTCACAGAAGCAGAGCCCAAACCACACCCACTGCCATGGAGTCCATTCCGACCCACAGCGCCCCTAGAGGACAGAGTGGAACTGCCCCACACGGTCTCCAAGGCTGTCAATCTTCATGAAGCAAAGCCCAAACCACACCCACTGCCGTGGAGTCCATTCTGAGCCACAGCGCCCCTAGAGGACACAGTGGAATTGTCCATAGGTCATCAATCTTTACGGAAACAGACTGCCACAACTTTCTCTGGGGAAGCTGGAAATCTCTGGGGCAGTTCTACTCTGTCCTACTGGGTCACCAGGAGTCAGAATCAACTGGATGGCAGGGGGTGGTGGGTGAATACTGATACCTCCTTGAGGCTGACTTCCTATGGTAAGACGTGATGTGACTCAGCAGTGGCCACAGAGGAGAAGACAACCGGGTTTGCACTAATGGATGTGGACACCCTGGTCAGAGGACTTCCGGAGCGTCATCTAGGGTGGGGGAGTGGCCGTCGGGCACGTGCTCACGTTACCTTTGACAGGTCTCTGAAGTTCCCGGGGAGGGTCAGGTCCAGCTCCTCTGACTCGTAGTTTGTTAGTACCCATGGGAAGACGGGGTACTGGTTCAGATCGTTGTAGGTCCGCCCTGGTGAAGACAAAAAAGGCAACGTTTACAAGCCTCCGCTGCTCATGAAACAACAGTTCCCGCTCCTACTGCAGAGGAGGCAACTACTACGTGTCCAAAGGAGAGTCATCCTTTTGTTTACTAGACTGTGTTTAACCCAAACACCTTCACAACAATCTGTTTCAACGAACGTCGCTCTGTACCTATGAAGGAAGGAGGGATGAGAATCACTTTTCAAAGCAGGGGGTGTGGCAGAGGCTGCTTCTTAGGCTGGGGTGCCTCCCTCCTGAGCCACACGCACTTTCCCAGCCTCCTCCGTGAGGACCCACGCCCACGGTACCCATTCTCATCCAGACGGGGGCCAAGGGGACAGACACACTTCCACGCTTGGCTCACTGAGATGCCCCACTGAGAGCCATTCCATTCTACTCTCCTGTGCTGACCAGGATGGGGGTGACTTCAACCCCAAGGGGGCTGTGCCATCCGGGGTCCCAAACAAGAGCTCAGAGGAGGCCGCCCTGCACACATGCACACGTGCAGGTTAGGGGACGGTATTTCACTACAATGAATAGACATGTAGAAATCACACAGCCCAGGTCCAGAAGACCGGGATATGGAGTTTCCACCAAGAATCAATACAGAGACTTTGCAGGTTATCAGAACCCTGCAGCCAGTAAGGACAGGCCCAGCAGCAGAGCCCAACCCAGCTCGCCCTCACTGAAGCTGGTGAGCTTGTTCATCTGTGGACTGTGCTGTGTTGTGTCCCTTAGCAAGAGCTGCGAGACCACAGGTTGAGGTTGTCTGTTTCTTTATTTGTAATGATTTAATTATTGTTGTTCCAGTAAAGTTAACACAGCAGTTTATGTCCCCGTTCAATAATTTCCACACACGTTGCTCAGGGACGCTGGTTCCAGTCTTCACAATGTGTGAGGACTCTGACGACTTCCGTCTGGTGGTCTTGTTTCCATTCCTCTAGTCTCCCTGTCCCCGCACATTCTCCTCTTTGCTTTAATGTTATTGCTGACCGTCTGGGCTCAGAGAGGTGATTTTATAAAGGAACCCAGTACTTGCGGGTGATACTCTTTATTCTGTGAGCAAATCTAGGAGTACCTCAGGGGCTTGTTTGGGTTCAAGGCTTAAAGAGTGTGTCAGGGGTTCACACCAGGTTGGGTTTATACCAGGTACACAAGGATGGTTCAACATTAGAAAAACAATCGTCATCCATAACATAAATAAAACAAAGGAAAAGAACCACATGATCATATCAATCAATGCAGAAAAGGCATTTGATAAAATCCAACACCCAATCCTGATCAAAACTCTGCAAACTAGGAATAGAAGGAACATTCTTCAACATAATAAAGGGCATTGATGCAAAACCAACAGCCATCATTATTCTCAATGGAGAGAGA